CTGCTCGGGGCACATTAGTCAGTCTGCAGTTGCCCTCTGATCTCCATGTCTTTCATGCTTCTGAGCATGGACTCAGTATTCCTCCTACTGATCTCTGTATGTGTGCATGTCCATGCATGTTTACAGCTTGTGTCCTGGCCAGATGTAATTATCACTCCCTGTTAGCTAACGCTTAGCCTCTGCTATGTCACCAGCTCCCTGTGCTGGCACAGCTATTCTCAGTCCTGTTCAGCGGGCTCTTTGCCCTGCTCAAAGGAGGCTTCTCTTCCGATGTGTTGTTTCAGAGCCTCCCACGCCGACCAGCGTCACGCACCGGCCGGACGAGGGCACGTTCGGGGTGAGTTGGGACGTTGGTGGCCTCTCTGCCACACTCTGCATCATTATCTCTCTCTTTTTGGGCTTTAAGTCACCTTCTAATACCCACTTGCTGTCCCCTCCCTTATGGCCTCTGCATTCAGCGGGCTCTTAAAAATGTAATTTCACCCAGCTGTGTGCGCAGTAATTGTCCATATAGAGATTATTGCCTCGTTTTATGGTTTTAGTGGTGAAGCAAGTGTTTGGTTGGGGACTGCAACCTTTCTGTTGCTCCCCGATCTTAATTACATGAAAGTTTCATCCTGAAATAATGGTATTTGGGGCTGCTTCTGTTTTAATTTATGAGCGAAACAAAGACATAGAATTCAGATGCTGCAGTGATTTTTTTCCCCTGGTTTTGTGGCGAAAACCTGATTTGGGCTCCGTTCTGCCTTTCAAACTCAAATTTAAACCTTTCTCTGCCTTTTCCACTCCTCAGTGGCTTAATGAAAAGGCTTTTTGTGTAACTCTCTCGACTCATGAATATATAGCAAGAGCCAAAAGAGAGAAACATTAAAAAGCCACCGAATTTTATTACTAAGGTTGCATCATTACCCACAATATTATCCATGTGAATAAACAAATGTTGATTCACGGTGTACTGAAAGAGGAGACTTTTGGGTAGAGTTGTCAATGAAATGGCGTCCTGGAGCAGATTTTATGTTCCGAGGTTTTAAAATCTCAGAAAGAGAAGCTTGTATCAAAACTGGTAAAAGCACCGGAGGCATATGTCTGGAAGCATGAGCCGAGGAGTCGCCTTTCCTTGTCATGGCCTTGTATTTTAAGCACCAGCTCCGACTTACTGGTGTACCCCCCCCCCCCATAACCTGCAACCTTAGCCTGTGCTGTTCTGGTCGAGGAGTGCGGGTAGGCCGTCTTGTGGGCCGTAGGTGCAGATTTGGTATATGGGGAGCCTAAGCTATCAGAGCCACTGTACATCACAGGTACTTTCAGCAGGTTGCTGCCTGTGCAGCTGTGTGGCCTTGCGAGCTGAGCCCAGGCGACTGGCCCCTCTTATCGCACAGAGATCTGCTGGCCGGTCGGCTAACAGAGCCCTTCTTTCCCTGGCCTCTAGGTGTCCATAGCGGTTGGCCTCGCTGGCTTCGCCTGTGTGGTTCTGGTCCTTCTCTACGTCCTCATCAACAAATATGGCCCACGCTCCAAATTTGGCATGAAAGGTAGGTGAAGTTTACATTTCCCACAGAATTGCAGCTCTGTGCCTAACGCGACGGAACGGCGTAGATGTAGAGATGTCTGAAGAGCTCAGTTGTAACCATTCTGCCCTTTAGCGTGATGCTAATCTGAATTAGCCTTTCTCGAGCAAACAAATCTCTGCTCAAGATAGGAAGGATGGCTTATGCCCCAAAAACAAAGTGCAGGGTAAGGCAGACGTGGGATCTTCAGCGCTTAAAGATTGTGTTCTGAGCTACTACTTTCCCGGTCATTCTTGTTTTGCTGTTTTCTGGGGTAGCCTTTTCCCAAAAACGCCTCTCTTTATGCCTGCTTGAAATGATGCCAGAGTCACGTAGAGGGGACCCATGGGACAGGCAGCGATCTTGCCCCGCGCCAACGTGCTGGAGATGCGATCTGAGAGGCGCGGGGCAGCGGGGTGTCAATCATAGCAGAGAATTGGAAGGGGGGATTAATACGGCTGACTGCGCTCATCCTTCTGCTGCTCGAGATGCTGGTTCCCGTCCAGAGTGGCTCATCTGTATTCAGCTCCATCTGATAGCGTGATTCTGTGAGCGCTGCGGGTCCTTCGTCTGGCCGTGGCGAGAGCGGGGGGCTCCTTCGGGCTGCTGGCCGCCAGCAACACAAGCGCCTGGCAGCTATCCTGCAGTGCGCTTCCGCGCGGAACGTTTAATCGCCGCTATCAGTTCCGGCTGAAACCCGGCGGATCCCCAGAACATTCCAGCAATGCGCAGACAGGGTATGCTCGCTCTCTACCCTGGCTGAGGAAAAGGGCTCAGGCTGCCGGTTGAACGTAACGGCAGATAAAGCAGAAGAGTGAAGTTGAGCAGCGTCAAGTCAAGAGAACAGGACCATGATCCTGTCATCTTTTCCTTTGCTACATCATTGTGTTTTTACGTCACTTCCTGTCCTTGCCGACACTCCGGAGCCGAAACTGAAAAAGGAAATCAGTGGTTTATATTCTTTTGCCGAAGCCCTATTTGGGGTTTGTTATACTTATAGTCTTGTTCGTTTATAAACAAAAAATGTGCGAAAAATAACATGATGCGTGTCTGTGTGCCAACGCTGGCCAGGAGGATGTGCCCTCGGCAGGTGGGGGGCATCAGCTCTCCCAGTCGCCTGCCCGTGGCCGTGAGACAGTCGAAGGTGCTGATGAGTTTGATACTATTGGGGCTTAAGGCGCCTCGGGCCTCCCGCTGCCTCCTACACGAGCGGCTGCGTACCAAGCCGCCTGCCTCTCTTTGTCTTGGCACTCTGCCCCATTCATCGACTTTCTCCATTTCGCTCCAGTTCCCACGGGGTGCTTCTTTTCTTCACCATCGCCAGTATGGAAAGAAAACACCCCCTTATGACAGCAGCTCCGAAGGCCTTTTAATGAAGTTAATTAAAAGCAGATTGAGTCGATACTGTTGTGTTGTTGGGAAGTGCTGATTAGGGGTGGGGGGGGGGTTGATGGAAATGAGAGGACATGTAGGACCATTGCCCTCCTCCCAGACTCCCATTTCCCATGGGTCAGCAGCCATTGTCTTATACCTTCAAAGCAGGCCCGCCATAATATGGCGTGTTCCTGACTGAGGTGATGAGCGGAGGATGCTGGGAATAGCCTCACTGCAGCATTAGCCTGCCAACATGCGAGTCTCTTTTTGAGAAGCACCGTCCTGCAGCTCTCTGAAAACCACACCACCTGCCCTCCTCTGCCCTGAATGCCAGCCTGTCTAAACCCTAGCTCACTGCACCAAATACTTCCGGAGACTCCGTTCAGATTGCAGGTTTGAAAAATGGTGGCATTTGATGCTAAAGAGTTTCTCATAGTCTCCCCTTTAATTTGACACATGCCAGTTCATTTGTGTCTTATTCTCCCTATTCATGTCGTACTACTTTGGCAGTTGACCATGAAACAGTAAATTCTATGGTGATCATATTATAAAGGTTGGTAATTTTGATTGTTTTGCATCCCTCTGTTAGAACTGCACTGTTTTGTTTGTTTCCACACTCTATAAGGTCCTTTTTGGTCCATTTTAATAGTAATAATATGTTGCTTAATAATTCTGAATAGGTAATTACTGTCCAGTTGTAATTGGAGGTTGGTCTGGACTGAAATTATCGGTAGGAAGAGAGGATGCAAGCAAAATACATGGTTGCCTAATAATTCTGCACACAATGTATGGCGGTGGCCATGGAAGCAGGCTGACTAGCGTGTGACAGGTGGCCAGATAGAGCCAGCAGGGAGCTCCCACAGATGGGCTCAGATGTTTACTTGCAGCAGTAAAAGTCTGTGTGTAACAATGTGAGAACATTCTTATACAAACGACACGAAAAAAAAAAAAAAACCCACAAAATCAGAACATTAAAGTTTGCTTCTTCCATGAGGGTTTTAAATTGCTTCCAGACAGTATTTGGCCTTTTGGAGCTTCTAGAATTCTGTGAGACTTTATTTTATTGTTCTGGTCTGGTTCTGGGGGACCAGTTGAATTGTATTCAAGAAGCCTCTTCTACATTCCGGTAGGTTCATATGGTGGATTTGGTGGATCTCGTTAGGAGATCACAGTGAGCTCTAGTGGGTGCGAGTGACTATTAAGAGTTTGGCTTTGCGTTTCATTAATGCTGTCAGTCTCGGCCCAGACATCTCCGGCATCTCAGGGCACTTTCTGAACAGAAATCCACCTTACTTACTGCCAATTCCACTACCTACTTCCATCAGCGTTAAACTGCCTGGAAGGACTAACACAGAGATCATTATCGCCCAACTCCTGGGGTTCAACAGCCTATGAGGTGTTTGGAGGTGTCATAGTCATTTTCCTTTGAGATGTGCAAAATCTCCTTGCCTGTCCCCCACTTTGTTCTTTCAGATAATTACGGCGTAAAACTGTACTACTGTACACCCTTCCTCCATACCTGGAAATGTGTTCTGAATGCACAGATTGTCTTTTTCTGAATGTTCTTTGCTTTTTGATTTTCCCCACGGCTTTTAATGGTGTTTCATTTTCTTTTGTTACACTGGAAATTTCTTGAAAATTCCATGCTCTAATTATCTTGTGCTTCACCAGATTAGCTCTAATGCATTGCTATATTGAAATTCCATGCTTTTTTTTCATGATTTTACGTATGTTTTTCTTTGTGTAAAAATCTGCTTCCATAACGCCACAGGTCAAATGTTTCAGCTATTACAATTTTCTGGACTTGACTCCTTGGTGTTGCCATTCTAGCAGGACAGACGTGAGGCAGGACCCACAAGTGCACACTCTCAGGTTGGGGGGAAGGGGTGGTCTCTGAAAGACTGGGGGGGAAGGGGTGGTCTCTGAAAGACTGGGGGGGAAGGGGTGGTCTCTGAAAGACTGTGCTGACATGCTCATCAGACAGACAGAAGTCCCTAAACCCAAACACATTACACAGCAGTGGCATTCCTTGTCTCCCTCCCCCCTCTATGTCCTTCCCCCCACCGGTATGGTGAATCAGCCGAGCCATCTCGTTTATCTCCCCCATCCACTGGGGGTGGGGGGGTGGGGGGAGGTGGTCGATGCAGCCATTAACTCCGATGAGGTGTATTGGATTTTTGCTCCCCTAAATCATTCCGGGTCTCTGTGTGTTCTCCAGCAATCCCAATAAAACTGCAACGTTCTCCCCGTTAGCACTTTTGAATTCCAATTAGCACCGGTACCACGGTGCCGGCAGCCACTCCAACCGCGTTCGGCTGATTTACTCACCTCTCAGGCCGCCGCGCGGCCGTCTCCACGACGACGTCTGATTCATTCCCTCGCTTGGGTGTTTGCTAATAATTACAGCCTTTCCAAGGGTTGCGGGCTGCTGGCACGTGGGTAGAGGGATGGGGGGCCTTGAGGAGCCTCATTCGTTTCATTGACAGAGGGGTAACGTGTGATCAATTGTGGAGCACCGGCCTGTAGGGGCACCTCGTCCAATCAGGCGCACAGGGTCGCTGGACCGAGTCTCCGTGAGCAACGTGGCTCTCTTGTCTTTAGGGGCTTCGGCCCGGATTGGAGGCCCATCGCTTCTGTCCTGAGTGGCAGCTGACAGATGTGTGGTTTTGGGATGAGCCAGGCCGTGAGGGTGGGGAGCTAAGCCAGCGCCAGGTGGGTCCTCATCTGCGTCATCTCTGCGTCTCGGGTATGGATACATCCCACTGGTGACAAGTTGACGAATGAACATGTAGGACTAGGGGACCTTTTGGATGATGGAAGAAAAGATGAAGGCGACTATATAACTGCATTAGGCATCTGGGGGGTGGGTCCTGTTTTCTGCTACAGATTTTCTGCCGAAAGGAAAATTGAATAAAAGTCTGTTTTTTTGTCTTAAGAATCGGCCCGCTATCTAAATGAAATCTCATTGGATACCTAAAGCCCTTTTATGTCATGTCTGACTTCAACCCATTGCGTAATCCTATTATCATTATATGATTATTATGAAATAGCAAAGTTTTTTTTTTCGTTGCAGAGCCATGGGATGGTTTAGTCTCTGCCCAGAGAAGCGGATTTCCATGGAAAAGCACTGCTTATCTAAATCCTCTCATTATTTTCGAAGCCAGGCTATCACGCTTGTCCACAACTCCGCTGCTTCACTGACACACTGGGGCCTTGCTCCTTTCAAGAAACTCACGCCGCACCTCTAAGATTATTGCTCCGAAGTAAAAAAGATGTAAGTTTCATGGCCTATAAATTTTGAATGGCAAAAACAAGGATTGTTTAAAGGGAAGGCAGAGTTCTGTTGAGCTTGACTGAGGAACAGTGGAGTAGCAGCGTTTAAGGCCTCGATTTCTCATTCCACGTCTTGTTCTCCAATGTCCAGCTCATGCAGAAAATGGCTCTGTCAGGCACCCGTTGAGCCTGGCACATAGGGAAGCCGATTAACACGGGTTCCAGAGGCAAACCCTAACCCTAACCATCTCTGTTATCATCCATGTGACTGCCACGAGCTGCTGGTGCGGAGAGTGTCATTTCTGAGTACATTTGTGAATGCTAATGTCTCAGGTCCA